AAAAAAAAAAAAACCTTCAAAAATCCGAAAACAAACTATGTTATGCAGAAAAATAAACTGAACAACTTTTGTCATAGGGTCACATCGAAAGTTTTTACCAAATTTAAAATAGGCCTGGACGGGCAACTGGTCTCGGACCAGTCTGGTAAACTAGGTTATTGTTTTTTTTTTTTAATAACAAAATTTTTATTTTTGCCCATGTTTTCATCATCGACTGATCATTGGACAGACCCGACCCTCGACAACAGTGTGTTAAACCACCACTCCTTATGCCCTGATACTATAATTTTTTTTCGGACCGAGTCCTGTGGGAAAATTTACAGTGATTAGGCAAGATTTAGGTTTGAAGAAAATAGGTTGGTGAACTCGTAAAAATCTATCAAAATGGCCGGGGGGAGGGGGGAGAGAAAGAAACTAGGTTGGGTTACAGTATTCATAACAAAATATATGAAAATGCCCTACCCTGCTGGAAGGGCACGATATTGAACAAAAACCAAATAGAGAAAAAAAAACAAAGGATTTGGACACAATAACGGTTAGATACATTATAGAAAGTCATTGTCTGAGTATGTTAGTTAGGGTTTTCCCAAATAACATGACATAGGAAGAAAAGTACAAGAAAATAAAAATAAAAATAAAGATTTAGATGTGATAGTGGTCAGATACATTATGAAAGGTACTATTGTGGGTATGCCCTAAGTGGGGGCGTTTGAAAACATATAAAAAACGTAGGGCACTAAAAAAATAAAATAAAACTATTTATTCATATTAGTGGTCAGATTCATTATGAAAATTACTAATGTGAGTATGCGCTTAACAAGGGTCTTCAAAAACATCATTGATCTCGTTTTTTTTTTTTTTTTTTTTTTTTTTCCCCTTTGTTTTTCTCCTGCTAGCAAATGATATGAGTTATAACACTTCAGTTTCAAGGTAGGTTGATACTAGTACCTCCGTTAAACAAACAACGGCATGCATTGTTGACTTCAGACATAGAAATATTCAAATTTTGGTTTGACAATTTAACTTCGGTTGGACTGGTGGTTTAACAAGCAGGTCCACAACTGATGTATGGGCGGAGTACTGGTGGTATATCTTATCTCAATCTCCCTTTTCACTACCTACCTATCACTACCTCTAAGTCTATATGGGGGACCCCTGCAAGCATAACATGTTTCTCCTCACCCTAATCGACAGTGGTCAGGGAGTAGGGTGGGCCGACCGGTGGTGGGGGCCGGCCAACGCAAAGACTGAGCATTTTGTTAATAACTGCACCTCCCATCTACTTCCCCCCCCATTCCAGCAACACAGACACACACACACACCCGTGATGGCCAAAGACCCTGCCAAGCGAACGGGGGGAGCAAGCCAACTATCTCAGTTGGTTAGCGCCAAGAATGCCATAGGTGGCAGTGGGGATTGAACCCACGACCTCCTGAATGCCACTTGTGTGCCACTTGCTCCATGCACGCGCTCCGTTAGACACTGCGGCCCACGACCTCTTGAACACCACTTGCGTGCCTGAATAACTGAGCTGGGCCTCCATGCACGCGCCCTGTTAGCACGCGCCCCGTTAGACACTGCGGCATTGGTGATTGAACCCATGACCTCCTGAATGCCCACTTGCGTGCCTGAATAACTGAGCTGGGCCACTTGCTCCATGCACGCCCTGCTGGTCCATTATTTATCTAAACGGCTACTGTGCCACTGGCGTCGTTCCCCCCCCCCCGTCTTCTGTGCCTCTTTTGGGGTAAGTCGATCAATGTGCCCTAAACGCATGCCTGGAGCAAGGGCCCGGTATTGCCCTTCCACCTACATACAGCACACAGCGGCGACGGGTGTGTAATGAGGCTCCGTTGGAGTCACTCGCTGGCCCCATCACGGTTTCTGGTGGGGGTGCGGAATTGCGGCGACAGTGGTCGGGCTTGGCTTACCGGTAGGGCGGGAAAGTGGCTCGTCCTGAGGGGTGGGAAGTCTGGGGCTTGCTGGGGCTGAGGCGGCGGGTGACGGACGGAATTGTCGCCACCTTGGTCCTTCATCCCACAGCTCAGGCTGAGGCTTGACATGCCCAAAACTCGTACTCGTGAGAAGAGAAAGTCCTTTCCGGGTAGCGGAAGCAGGAATCGCGCCGGGGAGCGCCCGCTGTGCTGCCCCACCATCGCCGCACCTCAGAGTAGTCGGTCCTTTTCGGGTAGCTGAAGCAGGAATCGAGCTGTGATCGTTTGTGCTGTTGCCCTGCCATCGCCACGCAGGGAGGTCAGCGCGCGTAAGTGGTTTTACATGTTTCTTGTTCCAACCGGTTCTTGACAAATAGAAGTCGCCGTTCACATGTGGTCATGCGGGGTCTCTCCGTAGCGAATACTCACAATGTCTGTCACCTTTTCGTCTCCGCAGCTATTTACGTGGTTGCGGACAGGTGCATCCAGGTGTCGATGTTATTGCGATCAGATGCACTTGATAATAGGCATAGTACGAGTATGCCCTTTGAGGAGCAACTGTATCAAAACTTACTCACACTTGCACCTTCTGCTCAGCTCGTTACGTGGTTGCGGACAGGTGCATCCATGTGATCGATGTTATTGAGATCAGATATACTTGATAAAAGGCGTAGAATGAGGATGCCTTTTGAGGAGCAATTGTGTCAAACCTTACATGGCCGGGTAGAGATTTGATTCTGGCGTCTGGTCGTTTTTCGCGTCGCTGACGGCTGTTTTTTGCGATTAGTGTATACTGTCCATTTTTCATTTGGAGTGAAATTTCGGGCACTAGGTCAAACAACTGGGGATTTAGTCTGGAAAAATAGAAAACGTTCGACGAAACGTTTTGTAACTAAGAATAGAGAAGAGAAACTGAATAGCTAGTTGCCAAGCTTTTTTCTTCTTGGAATTCAACTCCTGTACCGGGTATTTCTTTTCCTAAATTATGTATGGCGAGAGCTTATCAGAGTGAAAGGTATGGATTTGTGTTTTTTGAGGATTGACTTGGCTGTCGTGTTCATTATTGCTTTTGCTGCTTGGTGTTGTTGTGCTTGTGGGACGTTGCAGTGATTTGGGTTTCCTCTTGTCCTCGACAAAATGGTGAGGCACAACAATGTCGTGCCTAATGCCCATTTCCGGAAGGATTGGCAAAGCCGTGTGAAGACATGGTTCAATCAGCCGGGCCGTAAGAAGCGCAGAAGACTTGCTCGCCAGAAGAAGGCGGTGAAGATCTTCCCCAGGCCGACTTCGGGGCTTCTTCGTCCGGTTGTTCATGGCCAGAGCATCAAGTATAATTCTAAGGTCCGGTTGGGAAGGGGTTTCAGCTTGGAGGAGCTGAAGGAGGCCGGTGTCCCTAAGAAGCTGGCGCCAACGATCGGAATTGCAGTGGATCATAGGCGGAGGAACAGGTGCTTGGAGGGACTGCAGGCCAATGTCCAGCGCCTTAAGACATTCAAGTCGAAGCTCGTGGTCTTCCCGCGTCGTGCGAAGAAACCCAAGGTGCGTTGAGATCTAGCGTTGTGCTGATGAATGTTGGCCTTGATCTTATTCTGTTACGAGCGTTTCATTTCTTGCACGCCGAATATGTTTTCTATCGCTGCGAACAGAACGCAAAATTCTATCCATATGTATAGATATAAGCATATAACCTTTCTCTGTGTTGCGCTGACTTCTATGACGAAAAGGTTTGTTTCTTTGTGCGATGGACTCAAACCCTAAATCATGTTCGTGTGTTGTCTAGGAGCATTTAGCGTTTCCAAGTCTAGCATGTTTTGCTCACCTCTGAAAACCCTAAAAGCTTGCCGAATCGACTACGAATCTGCGCAGGTTCTCAGCTATCAATCGCCGTATTACGTGCCGGGTCGTTTTAGGGGTATTTTTTTGATGCAACGTTTGCCGCTGGATAGTGTCATTGACTTGGCGTTCTGTTTGGGTGGAGATGGTAGAGAGAATGGACAAACCTGTGCTATCTAGGGGTTGATTGCTTGGTGAGCCAGAGAGAATGGATTGCTTTGTGGGCGGATATTTTTGTGTGAAAATGGGGGTGACTGGTGGTACAGTTGTACCACGACGCCGTAGATTTTAGTAGCGTGCACGTCCACGCCCTAATGTATAACTTGGGTGATGTTCAATGTTGTCGGTGTCCGAATAGGAACGGTAGGTGATGCATCGGTGACGCGTTTTTGGCTTCGTTTACAAATAATAAGGTATCTCGTGCAGGCAGGCAGCTCGTTTCTAACGGGGTCGAGAGACAACCTAACCTTTGTTTTACGTATGGGTATGTGATCATGTGAATGGGGACCGAAGAGGGGCGTCAGTGTCGCGTGGTTGCTTTTGTAGTGTTTCTGGAACATCGGTCTTCGCTGCCTCATGAGAATCCGTCTGTTTGTTTGTTTGTTTGCTGGTTTCTCAGTTTGGAGATTCGAGCCCGGAGGAGGTGGCCAATGCGACGCAGTACACTGGACCTTTGCTGCCCGTAAGCAACGCTACAGTCGCGACGGAGATCACCACAATCACACCCGAAATGCAAGCCTTCAAGGCTTACTACAAGCTTCGGTTGGAAAGGATGAACGCACGCATGGCTGGAGTCCGGAAGAAGCGCGCTGCAGAGGAGGACAAGGACGGTCTTGGCTTGAAGAAGTAGAAGAAGCCGTGCACGTATGTTGATGTCGTGGTGTTTAAACGTTGAACTGGAGATGAATTACTATCAGTTACCGGAGTTGTCACTACGAGAGATTCGTGGTCGATCATGGTGTCGTGGCCAGTGCATTCAGACTGAGTGTCAACGTGGCTTATTCCTGGAGTGAGGATCAGCGAGTCGGTGGTTGCTGAAATCGAAGATATTGTTCTTTTTTTAATGGGAGATTCTCTCATTAATTCATTTTGCGCAGAGATTGAGAATTGATCTCGGCTTGTCTACGCGGTTGCTGTGGTCCGGCGTCTGTTTATTGGACACGCTGTGGACTGTGTGTAATCCTAAAGTCATTGCGACTCAGAACTGTTTTGGCCTCCTGATGTTGTGGCTCTTAGATGTACTGTGTGCTGTGCCTTGAGTGTGTACTGTGGCACGCATTATGGAATGTTTCTCGGTTGAACTGAAGATCGAATGCTCCGTGTGCTATGCTATGCCTTCATCGTGTGGTGTTGAATGCTTGTGTTGAACCGAAAACTGGAAATACATGTCACGTGTCGTTTCCTTTTTGCGAACGGACAACTGGAAACAATTTGGCGATGGGCTTGAAGGGTTGAGGAATTGACTGCCGGCTTGTTACTCGATAATTTCTTATGTAATATTTGCCATCACTCCGGAAATCGATGAACTTCATGAGATTAGGGTTCCCGATGCGATCATCCGACGCGTGTTTTAGAAAACGACCTCAAAATTGGAAATCACCGACTTGAAAATTGAGTCAGTCACTTGGCGCTCGAGGTTCGGAAGAAGGGTAATTTGCTCGCCATTGGAGTGAACGAGTACATGATTGCCTCTTCTCGACCCTCCTGAGTGAGTCATCCCGGTGTTGTATGTACCGTTTGCTCGTGATCTCAATAGTGGATGAGCTTCAGGCTATCAATTTAAGTGTTTGGCCCCCGGCTGTGAACAGATGAGGAATTTCTCTGACGACACGAATGAATGAAGTTCCAATTACAAACGTTTTTCCGCGGAGTGATTTATGGCGCGGTTGCAGATTAGAATGGACGGCAATGTTTGTTTTTTTGCTGGATCGGAGCGTGGTATGCAGTAATGAGACGGGTGCCGATGTCATCTCCACAGGGAGAGATTGCTGGTCTTCTGCTCCGATGGGAGTCGTTGCTGGCTTCATCTCCCTGTTCTGGTGCGTCAGGAATGTGCCCTATGAACGTCACGGGTTCTCCGTGGCTCGTCTTCTGCCACTCCGACACAATCTCGCGGGATCATAGTACCGCTCTGTTGACATGATCACAGCGGTATCGCTCTATGGGGCGGTGTCACTGTCGTCGGCTTTCCTCACAGGGCGGTCTCCAAGAGCCGCTACATTTAATTTCCCTTAAATCAGCAAGTTTCCCAATCGCCCTCAACGGGACGAAAGCACCGTATGCGATATTTCGACAGAGGATGCTTCTTTGTGTCAGGCTTGTTAGCAGATCTGTGATATGTATGTGTAGCTATTGACTGGTGGTTTCTTTCGCTGATTGTCTTTTTCTCGCGATTTTTTAAAATTAACTGTTCAAATCTTTCTCACGTCATTTCGCGCTCGACGTCGTCGTCCAGCTGTGGCTCTTCTTGGTCAGCTCATACTCGCGAGGACAATCTTAATCGACTGATTTGTGTTGAACGGCTTCGCGGGTAAGTTCCCGATTTGATATCACTCCATAGTGTGGTTATCATCTAACAATGACCTTTCTGAAATATGATGTACAGTACGTTTGCGTTCTATATAGTAGTTTTTATAGTGTGGAGAGTTTATGATCTGGGTATGACCTCTTTGAAATATCATCTCCAGTACGTTTGCCTGTTATGTTCGAGCAGCCCATGGTAATCTGGCTTGGGTTGTGTGCGGCGAGATGTTTATTGATGCATATGATGTGCTGTCATCCCTACCTCTGGGTACTCCTTTTTCTTTACATGTTTCTGATCGTCAATACAGCCAATTCAGTTATGAACGAAGCAATAAGATTTTGAACCGCTCCAGGACATTCCCCACGTGACCTTTCGAAGGTTCCAGATGAGCAGTGCTACCGGAAGAAAACGGCTGGCGGCGGAAGGCGAAAAAGAAGAGAAAATGCCGCGCTGGAATCTCGGCAAAGCTTGGCGCGCAGAGGGATGATGCTTCTTTCGTTTGTGTATGTCATAAATGGTCTTTGTATGTCTGCAGATGGAATCAGATGTCGGTGTACTGTTCTCTGGTGTTGGTCGGGATTCAATCCACTCATCTCTAGTTTGCCTGGTCGAGCTGAGCACAGTTTCGAGTGGTTGTGGTTGCACTTCCATATCTTTTATAATCTTGCCGTTTTGCGCAGGGAACGGTGTATCGCGCGGAGTTTCCATCCACGACCTCTCGTGAGGTCGATGACCACATTTGCGCGAATGGAGTTCATGCAACTTGAGTTGGCCATCTACCTAATTATTGTTCCATAGCATTCGATCCTGGAAATGACGTGGGATGTTTTTTGTCCCACGTGTTGGGCATGGAGGCGGCATGTTGTGGTACACAGTCCGTCGAACGAATCTGATTAATCGAGTGAAGGTGTGATCGGTGCAAGTCGTCAGAGGGATGGCAATAATGCGCGGAATTTCCATCCATCGGGTCCTGTTATGAGTTTGATTGCCACTTTCCGCGCAAAGTTCTATGCCAGTTGCCTTTTCCACTGTTGCAGTGGGAAATTATGTCCTAGTGACTCCTGTAATGTCCAATTATTATGGGAACTATCATCGGCAATGGTATATGCGTTGCTCATGTTGATTTTATCATTCTTTGGGCAATTAACTACGATATTCCGGGTCGAAATTTCGGCGTCGTTTGAGATGTAATTGTCGGTGTTTAGCTTTGCGAGCAGGCCATGACGATTTCGGTTTCGAAAACGCTGGAATTACGCCCAGAAATGCCGGATTTAAACGCCCGGAGTATTTAATCTGTCATCCGCTCATGGAGCGAGCATGGTGTGTGGTACACAGTCCGTCCAACGAATCTGATTAATCGAGAAAAGTTGTGATCTGTGCAGGTCATCAGAGGGATGGCAATGAGGCGCGGAATTTCCATCCATCGGGTCCTGTCATGAGTTTGATGGCCACTTTCCGCGCAAATTTTGATGCCAGTTGCTTTTGCCACTGCTGCAGTGGGAAATTATGTCCTAGTGACTCCTGTAATGTACAATTATTATGGGAACCATCATAGGCTATGGTATATGCATTGTTTGTATAGGTGATTATTATTATTTTTTCATGACGTTCCGGGTTGTAATGTCCGGCATTGTTCGAGCGGTAATCGTCAGGGCTTTCCTGTGCTAGCAGGGTCTGACGATTTCGGTTCCAAAAAATGCCGGAACTGCGGCCAAAGAATGTCTGATTTAAACGCCCTAAGGAGTATTTATTCTGTCATGTTCATGGAGCGAGCATGGTGTGGTAAACAATGCGTCCAACGAATCTGATTAATAAAGTGAAGGTGTGATCGGTGCAAGTCATTAGAGGGATGGCAATGACGCGCGGAATTTCCATCCATCGGGTCCTGGTATGATTCTAATGGCCACTTTCCGCGCAAATTTCTATGCCAGTCGGAAATTGTCCTAGCAACTCCTGTAATGTCCAATTACTGTATTATGGGAACCGTCATCGGCACTGGTATATGTCTTGTTTATGTTGCGTCGTTTGAGAGGTAATCATCCTAAGTGTGGTGCGTAAGCTAATTTCGCCATAGCCGTTTTTTACCTTTGGTAGCAGAGTCTGGCAGTTTCGATTCGGAAACGCAAGAATTGCGCTCAAGAATGTCGGATTGAAACACCCGAAGGAATGTTAATCCTGACTTACGTTCCTGCTGATTGTGGTCCTGACATACGTTCCTGCTGATTGTGGTCAGTGGTCTATCTCCCCTTTTTTTCACCCTGTGTTTCAGATAACAGAGAAACTTATGCTGAGAGTTATCTCGCCGTTTCATGGTGAGCCTCTATTGAAGCTCGTGTGACGAAGCCGCGTGGATCGCTCGCAAGGGTTTGTCTGTGTTGTTTCTTAGTTTTTTAACGCTGTATTTTGTTATCCACGTGCCCGTCACCAGGTCTGTGAGGGGAAGGTCGTGCTGGAACGTCGTATGATGATGTTGCCACCGGGCTAGTAGTGTTACAACGTGTTGAGGGTGTGCTGGGCATGGGGCAGAAGGGAATGACTGCGGTGGAAGATGAAAGGCGGTTAGGAGATCGATCTCCGCTTGGAGCATGAGGGGGCGGAGAACAGTGGGAGTTGTGACGATGTTGAGCCAAGTCGAGTCTGAAGGGCGACGGACTGTCGTCTACTGGCTGCTGATGATGTGGGTGGGTGAGACAAAGTGAGCATGAGGGGGGTGGGTTCGGTAAATCGAAATGCGTATGGCGGTGGTCGTGAGATCGGGATCGTAAGCTGGTTGAAAGCGGCTGGGGATTCTCGTGCCAAATGGTTGCAGGAGCTCCCGCTGTCTTGGCGATCGATGTGTCATGAATGTAGGCCATTTGATCACGTTAGTCTCTACACGCGCGAATCAGGGACGTCATAGCCCGCTACACTTCGTTTGGGGAATGCCATTTACCAGGTCCGTTCTTGGAGACGGTTGGTGTACAGCGTGATAGAGTTGACGCCTTGATAGAGGTGACGCCTGCCTTGTAGTCTGCAACGTTGTCCACAAAGGTCGGTTGCTTCTTTCGTTAATGTGTATATCATAAATGGTCTCTGTATGTCTGCAGATGCGATCAGATGAAAAGGAGGCTTGTTCCATTTTCCGCTGGTCCGATTCGTTGCATGACCAGGAATAGAATGAGGACGACACTCGTGCCTATGTATTAGAGGCCATTTGTGCACCAGTACGCCTAGCTCAGCTGGTGCACATGACTTGTTGAAATGCAGGCCCAGGTTCTAATCGAGATGTAATCAGACGGACAGAAAAACTCGTTTTAACTACGTCGGGCTGGTCAGTTCAATGATGATATCCCAAGGCCCTCGGAAAGGTAGTACGATTTCCTCTGGAAGTTAAAAAAGAAACTATTTGTATGTATGTTGTAGAACAGTTCGGGCCACTGGTAGGGGACGCTGGTGCTGCCATTCTTACCTTGTCGTAGAATCGAGTTGTTAAGATAGCGTTTTCTTAGCAGTAGCGACCCCCAGCGTCTCGTCTAGCGTTGGTGGCTTATTAGCCAGTTGTACTGCACCGGATTGGATGGACGTTATGTTCATCGTTTCCACTCGTGCTTCTTATGTGCTCCTGGTCAGTCAGCTCACCTACATCGGAAGTTTCGCAATGTCGACGAAAGGTGAGGGATTGATCCTCCTGGATCAGGAACGGATTCCCTTACCAGGACTTGACCTGGCGGTACATTCGTGAAGTGGGGTAAGTGTTACTTCCGTTGTGACTGTTTATAGCCGCCGAGGGATGATGCAGCAGACGTCGAATAGTGGGAACGAGGCAGCAGAGCAAACCGAAACGAGAGACATGGGGTCAGAAAACCCTGTCAGACCGAAGCTCATTGATGGTTGTGGATAGAGGTCATTCAGTCTGATTCGGACGAGGAGGACGAGTGGCATTGTTCGCGGGTGAAGCGCAGATAAAGGCGTTTGGTTGTATGGATTGAAGTGGTCAAGACATGAAAATGGGTGGCTCGGTTTAGATCTTCCTGTGCTCTGAAATTTAATGTTTTAAATAAAAGCAGACCATAACGACGCAGACAAGTTCCACAACGGGAGGATCCCGTTTTGCAGGACAGTCTCGAAGAGTACTTGTTCGCTTACCGAAGGACCTCACTCATCGGAACAAGACTCAGTTCGCTAGGAGATTCAAAGAGTACTGAGTCACTGCCGTGAACCGCACTCGTCAGAAAGAGGCTTGTAAGGAAATAGTTTCTCTGATGCATCAAGGAATGCAACGTATTCCTCAACCACCTCGGCGGTACGCCCTGCACCGGCTTCAAATCACACGGATATTTATTGATTCGCCCAGATACCCTGCACCAGATTCGAATAACGACAGAAAAAGACATTATCCTGTCGTTATCTGAATCTGGTGTAGGGTATTTCCGGATGTTAGTCGTTTTGGTGCAGTGTATCTGGATCGATTCTGTGCGAATCAATGATATCCGTACGATTTGAAGCTGGCGCAGAGTGTACCTCCGAAATGGTCGCGGAATGACTTGTATTCCTCGATACATCAGAGAATCATTTTTCTCAAGTCTTTTTCTGACGAGTGTGGTTCACGGCAGTGATTTACTGAGTCTTGTTCCTACAAGTTAGGTCCTTCGGTAAGCGAACGAGTACTCTTCGGGACTGTCCTGCAAAACGGGCTTGGTCCGTTGTGGAACTTGTTCGCGCTGTGATGGTCCTGCTTTAATGTGCCGGTGGGTGTGGGTGTGTGTGTTGGCCTCTTCCTATTTGTCTGCGGGTACTCGTTTTATTCTCCTCTCGTACTGACGCGTGATGAAACCGTTCTGGGAGAACTCTGGCGAACGCGTAAGTCTCCAAATAAAAACTGTTTGTTGGTCAGTCTTATTAACGTCTTCACACCAGGACAGAGAAATCGAAGGAGGTTCCAAGTTTGAAAGATCCAATGGGCGTGGCCTGTAGGTGCTTCATCGCTTGTACTCCTGGAAGTGTGATTCATCGGCGTGCTCCCTCGCTCTCAAGAAACTAGAATTCGTCCGGCTGCATCACTTACTTGGGGCTTTTGGATTAGCGGTGCAATCTGTCTGTGGTTTATACCTCTACTCGCTTTGGCCATGCATGTTATGCTGGTTTCCATGCCCTCGTGCCAATCGGTTCACTCCGTATAACGGATAACAGTTGGCACCAACTACGCTCCACGAGGGCCAAGTAGAACCTGGACGAAGATCAAGAAGATTCTTGGAGTTTTGTGCGTTTGTGTTTTGTTTTCGATGTTTGAATTGTGCGAGTTCAATGACCAGTTGCCGAAATTATGGCCCACCATATCTATACTT